GTAATCTCTGCTGTGAAGAAGAGGAAAATATTTCTCATCTGTTTGTTGAATGTAATTTTGCAAAGGCAGTATGAAATAGGTTGGCTGGTATGATGGGTTTCCCTTTAATTGATGGTGAATCACCTATTGTTAGGTTCTTGAGGCTTTCTAGAATTTTTAAGTTGCGTTCTTTGAGCCATGGTCTAGTGAGAGGTGTTCCACTTTTGCTTTTCTGGGCTCCGTGGAGAGAGAGGTGTAGGAGGAGGTTTGATGAGGGGAGATTGAACTCTTATGCTATATTTTTGCAAGTTGTGAGTGCTCTTTGATTGCAGGCTTTTGTTATAAAGCCTAAGAGAGCTGATGACTGGAAAGGAAAATAATTACTAGCTAATTTACGGATCAGTTATGCTCATGTTGTGATAACTAAGGCCATGTGGGTTAAATGGGAGCCCTCCTGCTGGTGCTATAAAGCTGAATGTTGACGGTGCAGCGAAAGGGACATCATTACTGTCTTGTGGAGGAATGGTTATCGGGGATTCGAATGGGCATGTGCTTGTAGTTGCGTCTTCATTTTATGACAGAGATACAAATATGCAGGCTGAATGTATGGCTTTATTAGAAGGAATGAAACTGATTTTGCGCCCTAATTGGAGGGTCATCAGATTTTTATTGAATCAGGCTCGCAAATCTTAGTTCAGATGGTATTGGGGAAAGTTGCTGTGTCGTGGAGGTGCCAGCATATTTTGGATCAGATTTGGGACTGTTTTGAAGGAGCTCAATGCCACGATCTGTCATATATACAGGGAAGCGAATGCCCTTGTAGATTTCTTGGCATCCTACGCTGTGCAAGTAGTAAGTTGTACAGAATTTTCTGATGTGGAATTGCTTCCTGTGGCTGGGAGATTTGATGCTGAACCAGGATCAGGTGTCACTGCTTGTTTTGCGGAAGAAGAAGCTTGTGGTATTGAAGAGGAATTGCAGGCAGCCTGATAGTAGTTTTGAATGTAATAGGGCTTCAAATGTAATTAATTGAGCTGCTTTTTGATTCTTGTAATCTTTGCTTTTATCAATAAAATTTCTTTTTCCAAAAAAAAAAGGAAAATATTCCATAAAAATAATTTGTTCCAAAAATTTAATAATTTTTTTTATTCATTTTAACGTTTTAGTCGCAACAATAAGTTGTCACTAAAAGCATGTTTCAAATTTTAGTGGTGATTTTAATTGTGGGTAAAATGTATACTTTTTGTTGTAATTAATTGTTGTAACTAAAAATTAGGTTTTAATGGGACTTTTAGCGGTGATGCAGTACATTTTAGTGACAAAATCACGTTAACTTACTATAATAATTATTACGGTTAAAAATTTTATATTTAGTGACATTTTTCATATTGCGGCTAAAAAATTTAATTTTAGTGGCAACAATTAAATGTCATAGCTAAATGATTTAGCCACACACATATTGCAGCGGCCTAGTGACAATAAAAAAGTCGTCATTAAAATATATAGTGACAATTTTTATACATTTAGCCACAATAATTTCCACGACTAAAAGACAAATTTCTTGTAGTGGATTGAAGGATGTTACAGATTTGATCGAACACCACCTTGATCACAGTTTTGTGTGTTTTAAAGATTGATAGTTTGTACTAGCTATTTTGCTACAATCCTTGTTTAATTCATGATTATACTTTTTAATTTCTCTAATATTGCTTTTTTTATTATTATTATTGTAAAAGACTATTAGGAAAAATGAATGATATTATGTCATACCTTTGGGCTATTTGGTATGTGGGTTTGGGGAGGGGGGGGGGGGGGGTGGGTTTGGAACATGGGTTGGGGACTAAATCCCCTTAAACTCATATTTGGTAATTATGGATTTAGCCTAGGGTTTGAAATCTAGCCCGGTCATGAAACCCTTGTTCATGAAACCCATGGGAGTGGGTTTCATATGTGGGTTTGAGAGTTTTATATTTAAATGACATTTATACCCATCATGTATTCATACCCATGTTTGAATTAAATTAGTTAAGGGGCACAATAATCATGTAAATACAAATATATTATCATAATAGTCATATATCCTTGCACATACCAAACATGAGTATGAACAATATTGAATATTGAATCTCATCTTTGGTGAAAACCAAGTTTAGATAAGATAATTCAAACTCCTCCCAAAAAAACATAACAAATAGGCCCTTGATGCATTGTTTGGAACCTAAAAATGAGAGAAAAATTAGTATCCACTCAAAGAATATGAATTGTTCCTAGTTATGTAATGAGATAAAGTTGGTTGTTGGGTGAGATACATGAGACAAACGAATGAACTTTGAGCTGTCCAAGGTAAAGCATGGATTAAAAGTCATAATAAAGGTTAGTGGTTGGCTCATTTAAAGCCCGGACAAGTTCATACACACTTCCCCGTGTTGACATAAACCTTTTTTTTTATCCCTCCGAACCTTGTTTTTTAATGTATGTAATTTTTTTGTTATTTGTTTTAATAATGTGAGTAAATGAAGAATTCTCAGCACTGTTTCTATATAGTGCCCCATCATCGGGTCGGGACGTATCGGATCTCAAGTAAGGATGTGTTTGTAGAATAGGGAGTCCAATGATCAAAGGTCCAATATACATGTCTGGAATCCAAAGTTAATTAAAAGCTTAAGTCAATAGGTGGTGAACCCATCAATAATATATTATGACACTTTTAACTTTTTTTTTGTTCTCCGATGTGGGATTCTCCACACATGGGGGTGGAGGGAGGCTAGGGTCAGGGTGGGCACATGCCCCACCCTAAAAAAAAATAAAATTTATTTGTTAATATATTATTTGTGCCCCCAAAATATAAGATAAAAATATTAGGCCTACATTATTTACTCAAAAGAATTAAAAAAATTAAGCCCATTTAAAATTAAAAAATTTGAACCCACCACTATCTACCAAAACTTATTAAAAAATCAAATATTTGACCTATCACAATTCATCCATACCTATTAAAAAAATAAAATTTTTGATCCACCATTAAAAAACAAAGTTTTTAGCGCATTTGACAGACATTAGTAATATCTATCTTATTAGTTATTTTTTTTTTTTCATCTCTGTCTCACTCACTTCTAGTTGCCCAACCAGAAGAAACAGAGTAAAACTCCTTCCTCGGTTTCTTAGGTTTTTCTTTTTTTCGTTCCTTGCACAGTTGATGGGTTTAGTAGAGAGCATGACCGGAGCCAACATATGCCCAGGGGGGCACATGTCCACCCTCAAATTTTTTTTCTTAACATTACCTATATGTATTTCAAGTATTTCTTTAATATTTTTAATTATGCCCACCCAATTTTTTTGGCACATCAATTAATGTACACTTATATCAAATAAATATGAATTTTTTTGACACATTTTTGACATGTTATGTATATAAAGACCAAAGTGATAAAATGATGGTGTATATAAAAATAATAAAGTTGTTATGCAACGGTTTCAACGTATTAAAATTCACCGAAGTCAATTCTAAATGATTTTAATTAACCTATATTTTGTAAAAAAAAAAATGGGTGTCGTTTGTATATACTAAGCTTACCAAATTTTGGTATGTTAGGTTTAATAAATTTTTAAGTATTAAATAAGATATAATTAAATATAAATTATTGTCCTATTTCTATTGATTGTAAAAAAAAAATTAGTTTGTTGAAATATTTGTGCACACCCTGACATGACTTTCTGGCTCCACTCCTGCACACATGTAATACCTAATAATCTCCCTTGTATGTGTGAATTATATCGAGTTTAACTCCCCCTTGAGTGTGACCCATCACTCTCTATAAGTATTGCGTCTAACCACTTTTTACAAGAGATTGTTTTTTCAAGAATCAAGTTTTTTATCGCTCTTTACGAGTAAACATATTACAGCTCTTTCTTGCGCCTAAAACCTAAATTTATTTATTTTTGTCAAAATGCACTTCCATGACTTCAATACCAAAAGTTCATCACTTTTCTTAAGAGGCAACATTAGTACTGACACGCTATATTATATTTTTTCGAGAGTTCACCTAGAATCGTCGGCTTTCGAATCTAATACTATTTGTTAAGAGAATAAGAAGTTCAATGTTTTAAGGCTCAATGTACATCCCTAAAACTCATGGTAGGCCCAAGCCCTTACTTGGGCGTGGTGAACCGGGTTTTAGGTAGGAGTAAACTACCCGCAGTCTAATCCACCATTTATTGAGCGGGCATTTTATTTTTTATTTTTTTTGCTCTTAGCCTGTTTATATATATATATAATTTTCATTTAAAAAGTTTCTAACTTAATATTTTTATAAATTATATTTTTGAATTAAAGATAGAGTCAAAATAGATAGAAAATAAATAATTAATAATTTTACTTAAATAATGTAGAGTCCTATATTACTATCAAACTTTTAAAGTTCCAATAGTTAATTTTTTTTTCAAACAATTGAGTGGAAGAATAAGGGATTCTTGGGATGAGTTTTAACAGATTTTTGCGAGCCGAGTAATGGATTTGAGGGAAAACTCAAATTTTTGTTCAAAAGATATTGAACTCGGGCTTAGACTGGTCAACTATTAAACCTATCGAACTTCAAATCAAATAATAGAACCCGTGGGCCAACCCAAAATTTTATTGGATTAGGCTCAAATAGAGAACGCTGGAAGAAGGGAACCCCCGACGCGATTATTCTTGTCTAAGAAAGCTAATGTTGTGCGCCTGTGACACAACAATGCATGCGCATGTATTCAAAACCAAACGAAACTACCAGTTGACTAAGCCGGCTCACAAAACAAGTCCATTGAATTTTAAAAACCCCATCTATATGTTGCTAATCAGGCCCAAGTCCAGTTGAGAACGAAAGCCGGTCCATGGTAATGCCAGTAACACGGCCCATCAGATTTTATATTTGCAGTGGGACCCCGGTTGATAAACGCCCCATGAAAGCCCGTATGTATGTGATATCTCCTCCTGGAATTGCCATATAAAGCGCGGGAGTCTTTATTCCCATCGAATTTTTGCGCACCCAATCATCACTCTCTCTTGCTAGGATCGATCCTATCTCGTCAACGATTGTCGTTTTTACTCTTTAAAACCCTTCAATCCCCAAACCTCACACTCCAATTCCACAGAGACCCCAAATCCACAACGTCATTGAGAGGTAACACATTCGAATGTCCCTCATTCTATTGGTTTTCTTCTTCAATTTTGTTCGATTCAAGCCTTTTTTTACTATGTAACTGCCTTCACTCTAGGTTTTTTTTTTCTTTTTAGGGTTTTAAACAATTAGGGTTTCTCATATTCAAAAAAAAAAAACAATTAGGGTTTCTGCTGGGAAGGAGAGAGAGAAATTGGAGCAGTGTCTGTACTCGTCATTCAATGGAAGCCGCGGCCGGTGGTGTTTCCGCCGCTGCACGTGGTGTATCTCTGCCGATGACCTCATCTCAAGCTTCCCGTAAAGAGTGGCGGGTTGTTTCCGAACAATCGATTCGAAATTCCGGCAACGAGGTACTAGTTTACTTAAAAACCTAGTAACATTGCTTTAACTGCAATCGTAAAGTTAAGTTTTACAATTTTAGTTGGTTTTTTGAATATTTTTTCTTGATTTGAGCGAAAACAGCTAGGGCCAGCGGATGAGCGACTGATATATGAGGTACGCAATATGTTCTTTATGAGTTAAGGTTCTTTTTTTTTTTTATAATGTTTTTCTAGTAGTTTTTTATTAGATATATTACTGACAATGAACGTGATTTGGTGTTTTGTCAAGGTGCATCAAGGAAGGGAACCGATTGGTATCGATTTCAGTTCGATACCAACTGACGGAAGCTTGGACAATGATGTATTGGAGCAAAGACTTCACAGTGTGATGAGACAGAGGGAGGAGTTGCTACACATGGAGATTGAGCTGAAAGCTCGGCTCATTGCGAGATTACAGATTATGGAGATGCAGAATACCTACGATGCTCAGATCAAAGAGCATGCAGATGCCAATGTCAAGCTTCAGGTATGCAGGTTCTGAAATAAATGTATGAATATACATGTCTTTATGCATGTATATGTGTTGGTATTATTTTTCATATTTGGGTTTTACTTGGTCGTGAAGGAGCATCTTCATGAAAGGGAAAACACTCTAAAAGAATTGGAAAGGAAGATTGAAGAAAAAGAAAGAGAGCTGAATGCAATTAGATTAGCCAATGAAGCGGTTCGTCTGGGCATATTTAATATTTTAATTGATTTGTTAGTTTATAGGATTTTGTTATTTATGGGTTATGATTCTTGCTTGATTATATACTTCTTTCTTACATATTTTGCAGGCATGGGCTAAAGAGGATCTTCTCAGAGAACAGAACAAAGAACTGGCAACCTTTCGGTATGTGTTAGTGTCTTTATGAGAACTATATATATAAAGTTGTTTTACTGTGGATGCTGATACATTATAAACAGTTTTGCTCGTGGTTACACATATTTGAATCTAGCATGTGCTAACATTTTAGACCTTTTTTTGCTTAAGTTGGATTTGTTCCTTTTATATTCACTGGCCTTTTTGTGCCTGTTGGACCCTTTCCCTTTCCCTGTCTCATGAAGACCTTGACTAGCTGTAGCTCCATTGCTTAGGGTTTTGGCAGTTTTGGTGATTAATGTGGAATGGGATTTGTGTTTTTGCAGGAGAGAGCGTGACAACTCGGAAGCTGAAAGAGCCCAGCATCTTAAACAGATGCACGATCTTCAGGAACATATTCAAGAAAAGGAGAGGCAATTCATGGAGTTGCAGGAACAGGTTTGTTGAATTGCATGTCTGCAGTGCGTTGGTGCATTCCAAGTCCCAACTGGGTGGAATTAATACATTGAACTCTTCTAAAGTACATATATGTATTCATGCTGTTTTGTATTTATTAATTTATATGAAGAAGAATGTGCATTGTTTGGGAACGTTATATGGCTTTTATAGTCAATTTGTAATGCTTGGATTCTGGTCATATAATACTTTGCCATGAAATGCAATATATTTTGTCTTGGGGCC